CGCCGGCGCGTGGGCCGGGCCGGCACCCGCACGGGACTCGAGCCCGCCTGTCCTCACTTTGCCCCTTGCAGGCCCGGTGGCGGCGGTCGCCGGGACGCAGCGATGTGGAAGTAGGGAGCCGGCGTGCGCCCCAGGAGCGCCTCGGGGGCTCGGCCAGGGGCGCGGCGCCCGCATCCGGCGCCCGGGTGCGGGATGGAGGCGCAGGGCTTGGACTGGCTGTTCGTCCCGATGCACCAGCTGGTGTCGTGGGGCGCGGCCGGCGCCATGGTCTTCGGCGGCGTGGTGCCCTACATCCCGCAGTACCGGGACATCCGCAGGACGCAGAACGCCGACGGCTTCTCCACCTACGTGTGCCTGGTGCTGCTGGTGGCCAACATCTTACGGATCCTCTTCTGGTGAGCGCGCGCGCAGAGACGCGGTGGATTCGGGGCAGGACGGGGGCGACCGCCTCCCGGGCAGGCGCCTTCTGCACTGGGGGTGAGGTGCTGGTTGGGTGCCACCGAGCCCGTGTCCGACTCCCAGGGACCCACGGAGTAGAACTGCCCCGTGCGGTGTCCCGGGCTGTGATCTGTCCCCGAGCCGATCTCCAGGCCCTTCTTCCGAGGAGCCGCTGGATGGGTTTGAACAGCCAACCTTCCGGTGCGTGGCGGAGCGCTCGTCGTTTCCGCCACCAGGGCGCCTTCAGGATGTTACTCCCCCAAAACTGGGGAGTGGGGCAGGGATGTCCAGTGTGACTTCCTGTTCTGCGTCTTCATTTGGGGTCTCTCATAGCCCCATGGCCACTCCCCAGGGCCCTCTCTGTGTGGTGTTGTCTTAGTACTAGTGCTGAGGTCCCACAGACGGATCCCTGCCCACAGCAAACGGATCTCCAGTGGGGGGAGACAAGAAAACAAAGAAACGAACAAATAGAAAAGAAAGGAACAGAAAGTGAGGATAGGGCCAGCCAGGCAAGGCAGGGGAGGCCAGGGGCCTCCAGATACAGGCGTGGGCTGCCGGGTAGTGCGGAGCCCGCAGCTTGTCCAGGCCTGGCTTTGTTGAGCGTGTGTATTAGGAAGTCCACTGTTTCCCTCATACTGAAGCTTAGACGGTGTTTCTTGTCCCCTCCCAGACTCACTTCCTTTTGTTATCATTTGCATTCTGCTAAGAGAGAGAGACTCATAGTGACCTCTCCTTGTGTTTCTGAGGCACTATTACTACGGAAGTAGATTGCCCAATCTTCCTTCTGAGGACTGGCTGGTGGATTTGAACTGCCAGCCTCTGGTTAACAGTCAGATGCCTTAGGCACTACACCAGGAGAGCTCCCAAAGAAACTGAAATGAATTTTAACAGTGTCTGAAGCCAGACATAATTGGCAAGGGATATTTTCAGAAGAAAATGAAAAGAGGTCTTATAGCTGTGTTTCAAGGCCAGAACATCTGGAATTTTCTTTCTTATGGTCCTGAGGCAGAGGCAGGCATGTGTATGGTACAGATGTGCCTCCCAAAGATCCCAGAAGGGCTGGTGGGAGAGACAGGTGACTCCAGGCAGCTGGTGACCTGAGCTTGGCAGATTTTTTTTAAAAAACATTTTATTGTGTTTTTGGAAAAAGTTTACATAGCAAATTAGGTTCTCATTTAACAATTTCAGTACATACTATTCTGTGACATTGGTTATACTTCATGCAGTGTGTCACCATCCTCATCATTTCCATTCTGGTTGTTCTGTTTCCATTAATCTAGCTTCCCTGCCCCCTTACTTTCTCATCTCTGGTCTAGGGTAAATGTGGACCGGTAGGTCTCATTTCAATGATTGTTTAGAAGAGCACAGGATTGTGGGTTTATTTATTCTGTGAGCCATTCTGTCTTGTGGCTGATAGGTGACCTCTGGGAGTGGTTTCAGTTCCAAGTTCAAAGAGAATCCAGGGCGATAGTCTCAGGAGTTCCCCTAGTGTCCAGTAGTCCAGTTACTCTGGGCTTTTTGAAGAATTTGAGTTTTGTCTACATTTTTCTCCCATTCTGTCTGGGACCATCTGTTGTGTCCCTGATAGGAACAGTAGGTGGTGGTACCAGGGTACCATTACCCTGCTGGTCTCAAGGTAGGTAAGGCCATGGTTCTGTTCCTGTAGACTGTTACCTGTGGACAAGTTTCTTCATTTGGTCTTTGGTTCCCCTTTCTCTTTTGTTCCAGATGCATATGAACAGTAGTTTTGTCCTAGATAGCCAATGTTCCTCATCAACATCGGATTAGAACATTATCTTTTTGAGCTGTGTTACTCTAGCTGACCCAGTTGCCCACAAGACTATGGTCCTAAGCCCTCAAACCCAGTAAACCAATCCTGTGAAGGATTTGATTATGTCCAGGAAGTACCCCTCCTGAGAGTTGCTTCTGCAGATGACCGTGCCCCTCCTGAGAGTTGCTTCTGCAGATCTTCCTTTGATTTTTTGGGTCACTTTGGAATAATCATGTGTTGTTGTTTGTTGTTGTTATGTGCTGTTGAGTCGGACCTAACTCATAGTGACCCCTCCTTGGTTTCTGAGGCAGTATCCCTACGAAAGTAGATTGCTCAACCTTCCTTCTGAGGAGTGGCTGGTGGGTTTGAACTGCCAGCCTTCTGGTTAGTAGTCAAATGCCTTAGGCACTATGCTACCAGAGCTCCCAATCATGTGTAAGCTTTTTTAATTTTTTTTTACATTTTATTGTGGTAAAATACATATAACAAAAAGGTTGCCATTTTCACCATTTTTACACATACAGTTCAGTTATGTTAATTGTATTTACCATGGTGTACAAACATCATCATTGTTCATTTGCAAAACTTTTACATCACCCCAAATAGAAGCTCAGGACCCCTTAACCATTACCCCCTGCTCCCAGCCCCTGGTAACCCCTAGTCAACTTTGGTCTCCGTGCATTTGTCTGTCTACATGTGTTTCATATGAGTGGGGTGGGATCAGACTATATATGCCCCTCTGCGCCTGATGTAGGCCCTTGGGGTAGTGCAAGCAGTGTGCTCAGCTGCTAATTGAAGTGACCCAGCAGTTCCATGGAACAAAGGCCTGTGGTCCGCTTCTGTCGACAATCAGAGCTAAGAACCCTATGGAGTCCATACCACCCTAACCTGTGGGAGCTCCATGAGTTGGAACCAGCTTGATGGCAGGTTTTTTTTTTTTTTTGCACCTGAGTTCTTCACTCAGCATGTGTTCAAGGTTCTTCCTGGTGGTTGATGTGTCAGGCCTTCACTTCTTTTCATGGCTAAGTAATATTCCATTGTGTGGATAGACCACATTGTGTCTATCTGTTGTACACTTGGGTTGTTTCCACTTTTACTAATTAGTTTTAAAATCGCCCATATCGAGGTGTAATTTACATTCAGTAGAATGCACCCATTTTTAAGTGTACAACTGATGAGTTCCAGCAAACATACCTGCATTAACCACCACCATCATGATACAAGGTTCACAAGATACAACATTCTCCTGAATCTTTGCCCTCAATTTAGTCTGGTCCTTGGCAGCTGCTGAGGTACTTGAGCAGATGTTAGTGTTGTCTGGGTCTGGGATCTTAACAGTGTTTCAGCCCTAACCAGCGAGCCAGAGAGGTAACCAGCTAATCCCTGAGCGTCCGACATGGAGGCTGGGGGTTCTGACAACATTCTTAACTCCTCCTCCCTGTGCCAAGGCTGCTTCAGAAGGGGAAGTCAGAGAGTGCTTACTTTTGTTTGGTCTCAGTTGAAAACCACACTTGGGGAATTCCTTCCTTTCCTCCACCCATTTCCCCTTTGGGGAGGCCCAGCTGCCCAATGGTTGGTGCTGAGAATGTCACTCAGCTTCCTCTTCTGACGTGGCCTTGATTAAGTGTCCATCTGAATGGAAGCAGCTTGCAGAATGTGTGTCCTATGGTGGGCTGGGGGTGGGGGCACGGAGCTCTGAGCCCAGCCAGGCCCCCACTGTTAGGTTCTGAGGGAGCACTGTGCTTGTCTCTAGGCTTGTAAGTTACATTTTCCCCAAAGCAGCAGGGAGAGTGGTCTGAGCCTGGATCACCACATGGGGACACTTCTGTTTAGCCATCTCCCTTCAGTGTGTTTATCACTCAGAATTGCTGTCTGGTTTGGGGAGGTCGGAGAATTAAAGCAGCCTATCTGCTGTCTCAGCTGTGCTTCTGGGTGTACATGGTGCGGGCAGGTACTCCAGATAATGGCCTTGGCTCAGGGTTCTTATCTTCCTGTCAGAGCCTGATGTTTAAGGAAGTGGGAGGAGTGTGGTCGCCTTCCATGGACTCCTGAATTTTGTTCCCTGTGGATGTGTCTTTGCCCCCTGCTGGTCCTCTTTCATGGACCCACATCCTAACAGTGCTGGGTCCCTTCCGCCAGCCACCCCTAACACAGGGCTCTCACTTCTCAGAGCTCCAGGACGCATTTTGGACATTTGCAGGATGAAGGACGGAGAGCAGAGGGTGCTGGTCCCTCCTGGGCGTCCATCTGGCTGGGGATGCAGGCCTCAGGGTTTACGTGCTGTAGTGTTTGAAGCTGACCCTTAGAGCCAGTGCAGGTCCTCTGTCCCCACCTAGTCCCAAGACCCTCTTGCTCCAAGGGTGATGCAATGATTCCTTTTTCTGGAGCCCTTCTTGTGGCCCCCACTCCAGTGTCTCTGTCCAGTCTTCATGGGTAAGCAGCCTGTTGGAGCCAGTGGATTTTTGGTGGGTTTCCTATCTGCTGGGCACTGGGCCAGATGCTGTAGGATTTACCTTTTAGCAGAAATGGTGTGTGGAATATTTCATCCATCCATCCATCCACACATCCACTACTTATCCATCTATTACTCATCCATCCATCCACCCACTCACTCACCCACCCATCCATCCACCTATCTACCTACCAACTCACCCATCCACCCACCTACCTATCACCCATCTACTCACTCACCCACCTATCCACCCATCCCTCTCTCCCTCCATCTATCCACCTGTATAGGCACCCCCACACAGACATCTATGGCATAAGGGTTGTGGGTCACCGCAGACGGACTCAGTAGAGGTTGGGGGCCGTGGTAGGCATCCAGGTGAAGGGAAGAGGGTCCGCACTGGAGCAGTGGAGGTGTGATGAAGTTAGACCCTTGAGCAGCGTTTTCCAAACCTGGCCCAGGGATAACCCACCCGGCTTCCATCCACGGGGGTGCCCTGCATTCAGTTCCCCTCTGGGAGGTCTGCCCGGAGCAGCATTTGAGCGGCTCTGGGTCCAAGTTACCTTTGTTTAACATGGTGTTTCTGAAATGTGTGTAAGTCTAATTAATACCCTTTATTTCTTAAAGTCCTATTATCATTTTGCAAAGCTGGCATTCAGCCAATCACGCTCTGGGCAGCACTGATGCCCCGGTTGGCCTTTTGGCATCAGAAGTCTGGAGAAGGGCTCGGTCGTGCCCTGTGGCTGATACATGCAGGCTTTTGATTAAGTGGAGAAGTGCAGAGTGGGAGGCAGTAGTGATGCTGGGCCGCTAACCCAGAGCGACAGGTGTCCACTGGAATGTTGACCAAACCTCGGTATTCATACATAGGCCGTGAGATGTGCAGCTTCCTGGCTAGGGGGGAGTCCTCATACACTTAAGAATGAAAACACTGTAACAGCAATTAGTAACATTTTGCTATAAGCTGATAGCACTGTTGCCAGGCACTGGACACAACTTGTTGGTTTGATTCTTCGGAGACCTGGGGAGGTGAACGTCAGGCACTTCTGCTGGGACCTGGCTGGACAGGGCAGGTGTTTGAACCCCCCTGTGGCCCAGCACTTGGTTGCCACAGCTGTGGAGACCTGGCCCTGCAGGGGGCCACTCGATGGTGTGAGGACGCCGCTGCCACGCCCAGGCTGGTGTCATCGAAGAGAATGAAATCAAATCACTTGATAAGGAAAAGGGGCGTCTTTCTATTCCAAGTGGATTTTTCAGACCCCTCACAATGTTGAAGTTTGTTCCCATGCATTTGTCAATTATGTGTCTTTTGTGGAAACCTGGGCCCTTTGAAATCTTGAACTTGCCTGTCTTCATCCTGAAGCCAGTTAACTACTCACCTGAGTGTCTCACACATGACACATGCTGTTTTAAGTGCCTCACGCTTAATCGTAAACTGGACTCATATGGGTTTGACTCTTGGCTGTGGTGCCAGGGCAAGCGCAAACCCTGATACTTTCTCGTCACTCGTGGCTGCCACTGAACATTTCAGAAGGTGGAAGATGGCAAAATGAGTGACATGGCACCTGGTCCTCCTGGCGACCTGAAGTTAAGGGGGAAGGTGCCTGCTAGCCCCTGCTCGGGATCTGCACCCGGCCTCCTCGCCTCACCCTCGCCCAGTGTTCCTCATGCCTCCCACCAACGGGTAGCCAGGGCCCCTTCAGGGAATGAGCTTGAGCTGTGTGGGGCGTGGGGCTGCCTGGGTCCTCTGACACGTCTCTCCTCCCAGGTTTGGAAGGCACTGTGAGGCCCCTCTTCTGGGTCCTCTGACACA